GGTCCACAGTGTGATGTGGAACCTTAAAAATTATGTAGCCGTTACATTTTTCAGACAAAAACATATTGACATTAATAGATTCTTGGTTTCTCATTGAGTGAGAAGAAGTATAGATCTTTAAACATGTTTTCTCTGAGCATTGATTCTCCTTTAGTCTGCCGAATGGGAAAATTGAAGCACTTGAATAACCGTTAACCATATTCTGTCCATTATGCTGCAACTTCTTTCAGTTTATTTAATTACTACAGGGCTGTTGAGGACAGAAGTTGCAAACAAAGAGCTGACAGTGACTTTAAACTCTTGTTTAAATAAGTGCTTTATGTTTAACAGCGAGGAGTTATTGTGAGCGAAATCAGAATCATTGTTATTGACTCAGTATGTTTACACTTAAAAGGAGGTTGGAGGTTGGCTTTGCTTTCTAGCAGCCCTCAATGTTGTAAAGTGGGCGCAAAATAGACACATTTGTAAAATATAAACATTACAACATACAAATTAGTGCAAGGTAAGTGTTAATGTAAAGCGTGCTAGAACAAATGTTGACCGGATGATGGAATAAGTTCATTTGTATACATACAGAAGATGTTTCTGTGCTACATTTGTGCAGTATATATGGGTTAGTTAGACTTCCATTTGTATTTGAGAGGGAAATAAATGCACAGTGTTTCTCATTGGGCGGTCCAAAGAACATTATGTGGTTGAGAAGATTATAAAGAGTAAGTTATAGGAGGTAGGTTTAGTATTTGTAAATGATTTATCAATATTTCACCAGAATGTAGTCTAGTTTCTCCATCTGTTACATTAAAAGATTCAGGAGTCCTTGACAAGTTTCAGTGCAGAGAGGATAAAAAAGAGATTTTTTTCAATCCACTGCTAATCATTACATGAATCAGTTAGAGGTACTGAGAAAAGGGTTTGGAAAACAAGATCACAGCGTGACAGCTCCGACCAGAAACAGGTGTGGAGTGACCGGTTTAAGAGGAAACGCTCAGATTAAACACTGACCTCCCACCACAGCTCGTCCTCTCCCACTACCACCTGTCTGCAGCTGACTGGGTCATTATTTTAGCCCTTAACCCAGCGAGTCAATCCTCTCAGAGAGGATTACAATGAAGGTTTGCTATGCTAAAGTCACTGTGCCACTCGCTGAGCCATAAACATCACTGAGCCACGTGAAAAGTCTAATTTAGCCAAACAACATGGAAGTATTACCAATAATAATTATGTTAACTTAATTAGAGCTGCTTTCAGACACGAAATACAGCTCAAAGGGCTTTAACAAGCAAAAATAGAACTAATTGTGACAAGTAAACCTGCTCTTAGAGGTTTTTATTTATCATTTCACTTTATTCAACTGAGTGAGAGAAGAAGAGACATTCTGAACATGCTTCTGCATCGTAGAGTCCAGCTTTTAATAAACAGTAGAAAATTTTTCTTGCATTATTTGCTCAGTTGAGCCAAATCCCCAACACCACACTGTAAAAAAACAAAACAAAACTCTGGAACTATTTACTGCTATTTTACAGGTTTTCCTTGTTTCTGTGAACAGTTATGTCACAGCTAAAAAACGTTGAATACACTCGTTAACCATAAAAGAGAGAGCAGGCCAAAACTGCAAATAACATCCACATCAAAAATCTGTATATTTTTTTACAAACAGTTATTGATTATTTTACATTGTTTGACTGTAAAATGTAATTTTTTTTTACAGGTTCAATCATCAAAATGATCATCATTTTACATATATTTATTGCTAGTATCAGGAAGTTTTGAAAAATGGTAAATAAGCTTTTTTGAAAGTATTATTTTACAGATGTTTTGTTAAATCACAAATCTCTAGTAAAATCACAGAAATCAGTATTTTTTTAATTTGAATTTTTTTTACAAATAAGAATTTTTCTTTTGCAATGTGTGACCATATACTTATATTGTTTAACAGTATTTGAGTCCACTAATAACACAATAATTCTTACACATGCTTGCCATTAATTCTGAGTTTTTACATTAAAAAATATATTTTTATTTTTATTATTACTTTTTCATTTTATTTATTTATTTATTTTTTTACAATGCACGCAGGATATTATTATTTATTTAGATGTTTGAGGTTCAAAAAAATTGCATTTTTGTGCTCTGCCCGTTTCTGCCAAACTGGCTTTGGTCTCCACCTTCTTTGCTTTATCTGTTTGTGTGCAGAGCAGCAGCGTTTGTTGCTATGATCTTGTGCTGGTCGCGTCTTCATTAGCCAATGCAGCAGAGAGTTGCATCAGTCATGTTGGCTGAAGGTGTGAAGTGTCTGTATCAGTCTCATTAGGGTTAACTTTGACAGTACAAAGCACACAGAAAGGTAAAATCACATTTTTGAGAGGCTCTCCTGGTTCAGTTGAGAGTTCAGCTCAGTCAGGTGTGTCAGTGACGACTATTTCATTTATTCTTTTATTCATTCATTCAGTCAGTCAGTGCTGTTATTCTGCATGTGTTTGAAGCAGCTGCAGCCTCCTCTTCAGTGTCTGTGGGTCTGTTGGCAGGTCAGTGCTGTGTGTTTGTGTGCACTGTGTGTGTATTATCAAATGCACTAAGCAAGGTGTGTGAGAGGAGGGTTTAATGCCTTCTTTTGTATATATCTATGCACTTATTCCTTCAAACCACTTACACACACAGGACATCTACTATTGTGTCAGTGGTGAGTTATGGCAACAATAAAAGGGCGTGGCTCCTTTAAGGGCAGTGTTAAATAGATCAGTGAGACACACACATGCAACCCCCAGTGAAGGAAGCCACGGTCAATTCAGCCAAAGACACTGAATATGCCAGGTTTTCAGTGCGCCTTCAGAATAAAAGCCCTTATTTTAATAAGGAGTGATTAATTTTCTAAGGAATAGAGAGGAATCTTCTGTGTATTTGCTCAATGTGGGTCAAAGGCACGCTAGTGGGTAAGCTTTGAAATGCCAGCTTTTAAGGAACCGAAAACAAAGTGTTTCGGTTCGACCACAGTACATTTTCACTTCATCAAATCCACATCCGTAGAAAGATGAAGGATGAAAGAACAATAAATAATAAAATGGTTAATAAAAGTAAAAACAAACAAATCAAAAAAACTACCTACAGCTGGGCTCATTTTTATCCTTACTGCAATTAAGGATTTTTTAAAGCTAGTTTTACTTTAAATCGCAGCCTCCATGCCTTTAATGCACTCAGAGTTTGAGTAAAACTTTAGAATTTACAAAATGTAGCAATGCTGCTGTGTCTACAATTTCCCATCATGCACATTTTGTACATGTCAGCTTCATACTATGACTCCTACAAACACTGTGTGAGTCAGTTTAATGTAATTTGATCATAGAGAACTTTGTTTACAGAGAAATTAGCATCATATCATTACAGTGTTCCATTAAAAACACCACTCTTCAAGAGGAAACTGCAAAATCAGCATGTAATACAAGAACTGCCTGTGAGGAATTTCTGAACAAAGTTGCAGTTAAATGGATAAAAATCCATAAAACTGCAAACATTTCATCCGGATTTACTATTATTGAAACTGTAGACTGTAAAGAACAAAAAATGTCATGAGGAGCTTCCTTCCAAGTCGAGCATACAAATGAAATAAACTATCAAACACAACAGGTTATTTAGCAACCATTTCATTACAGAGAGTTTCAGATACTTCTTGGTGTGTTGTTATTTCAACTGTTCTACTACAGAGGTGTACAAAAAAGTAATTTTAGCCCTGCTTGTTGTTGAACAATTATGGCTTCACACAGGAAACCCATCATAATACTGAAAGAAAGCTGGTTCCTTTAGTTCCTCATAATTTTCAAGCGAAAAAGAAAAAAAAAAATTAGGAACTGAAAGAAGTATGCAGATTTGAATGTCTGAATACATAGACAAATAAATTCAATAAAAATTGCAACCACCCAGGGAACATACAACTCCAATCCTGGCAGAATTACAGTGATTTCCCATTCATTATAAAATAAAGTCCAAGATTTTGTTGATGACTTTTAAATCTCTGTGTGATTTGGCTCCATGTTACAAATCTGAACTTTAGACACAATCTTCTGCACCTCGACCCATGGGATCGGAAAACTATCCATCCATCCATTATCTATACACCGTTTAAGCTTCACTAGGGTCACGGGGGGCTGA